CAGCTATTTACTTACCAAGTCTGCTAAATCTCACTATAACTTCTTTTTCACCAAAGTCCAATGCTATCCAATTAATAAGTAATGGATTTCATGTTCATAATATGCTTAGATTTGTTTCATTTGGATAAGTTAACTTGTATGTGTCAGTTTTTGGTTTTTTTTTTTCACTACTACAACAAAATACCTGTAGCAGCCTATTTATTAAAAAAATAGATTTGTTTAGCCAGCAAGGGCCCTTTCAGCTCTATCATCTCTTTGTGGATGGCAAAGGTGGGAACACATGCAGAAATAGATAATCAGATTTCAATTTCAAAAAACACAGGAAGACAGTAAGCTGAAGGATCAAGCTTGGGCTTTCTTTTGGTAGAAGTTCACCAGGGTTTGAACTCAGGGGCACTCAACCACAGAGCCACATCCTCCTCAGCCCTATTTTGTATTTTGTTTAGAGAGAGGATCTCACCAAATTGCATAGTGCCTCACTTTTTGCCCAGGCTGGCTTTGAACTTGTGATCCTCCTGCCTCAGAGCCACTGGGATTATGGGCATGCACAAACAGACCAGGCTCAAGCTTGGGCTTTTATAACCACCTTAACCTCTTCAGTGGACAAGGCCTCAAAGACCTAAAGACCTTGCATCTATACTGCCACAGTGGGGACCAAGCTCCCAATTTACAGACCCTTGAGGGATAAACCAAATTAAAATCATATTATATTCTCAAGGAATTAATTTAGTGTTTTTGTCTTATATCCTCTAACATTGAGAAACTTCTTTTTCTTTCTAGTTGATTTCTTATAAATATTTTCTGCATCTCAAGTTTCTAGAGACTGACTGGAGGCTATAAAATTATCTAAAAAGCTGAAGGTAGAAAACAATAACTGTGAGCATGTACTATAAATGAATAAACATTAATTTCATGTTTTCAAAATCAAATATGAAATATGACTAACTTCAAGGTGAATCTATCAAAGTAGTTCTTTTTAGTTTTATTTTGTTAAATTTATTTGTTAAATTTATTTTATTTATTCTGAGTCCATATAGCCACTTATTAATGGCTATATGGACTCAGAAGACAAATTATTACCATGAGGATTTTACAATGTGTTATAATCTTTAAGAGAAACACAACACATAATACAATGGATCTGTCAAAGATCAAAGGAGAATACTTGAATGGAAAAACTCATGCAGATGTTGCAGAACACTTAGTTCTGCCACAAAACTACTATGGGCACTATTTCTACTATTGTTTGAAAAGTACCTATTTTTATCAGGAATAAATACAATAGAAACCCAAATCTTTTGTAAGCAAGTTGTAAAATCCCCTGCAATGCTACTGATACAAATTGAAATACAACTTTTCAAAAGGGTAAGAAACAAATCTCTCTCTTTCATTGCCTATTCCTGATGTGACTACAATATGTGAAATATAATATTACTAAAATATTGCTAAAACCAAAAGAAAACTATTAGTTCTAGCATCCACACAGAAAACAATAGAAAATAAATTCTACTTTATAAATTTACATCTCTACTTAAAAATTAAAAATAAAAATAAAGGAAGAATTTTATAAACATCTAAATTCATGATCTTTGATTCTAAGAGAATTTAAAAGGTAAGGGACATATTTATGTCTATGCCTCTTGAAATATTTCTGCCAATATTTCTTTTATAGTGTCCCTACTAAAAAAATGACAAAATTTAACTTGATTTCAAATATTCATGTTTTTGGCTTAAAAATTATGTATTGTCGATAAACACACTGAAATTAGAATGGTCATTACATGTGGATGGGAAAGAGATGACAATTAAAATAAGTGGATGGGAAAGAGATGACAATTAAAATAAGTGGCCTTGAAAATTTTATTGCAATGATGGAAATATTCTGAATCTGATTTAAAAATGGTTCTATCACTTGGTAAACGTATTAGAAAATTACTGTGTACTTAAAAATGAGTAAAATATATGATATATAAAAATGTTTCAGTAAGGTTGTACACAAATGAATGAATTGAGTGAGAGAAGCCAGACACAAAAACATATGCTGTATGAAACCACTCAATTAAAATAAAAATGGGCAGAACTAATTTAGGTTGTATAAAATTAGAACCTGGCAATCTTGGGGTAGGGGTATGACTGATCAAAGCACTTCTGAGAGCCCATTAATGTTCTGTCTTCATCTGGTTGTTAGTTACATGATGAACCTTATTTGTGAAAATTCATTGAGGTGTACACATATGATACCTGATAGTGTTATGTATATATGTCTTAATACAAAATTATATATAGACACATAACACACAAGTGTGTGTACAAATGTTTTATCAATTTGAAACATATAATCAATTATATGTAAGTTAAATGGACCGTGTATTTTACATGTGTCATAAAAAATATGAGAAGGTCACCATATAGAATATTCAAATTTCCTATATTTAGACATTACTTAAGTTTAATTTATAATACAGATGCCAATGGAAGATTTTTTTGTTTGAACAAGGAAATTCATCAAACTAGTGTATCATCCATCAATACCAAGTTTTCTGACCTAAAGAGAGGGTTTTGAGGGGAAAAGGGTCTTGAGCCCAACCTGTGGCATATTTGGAAGAGAATTTCGGGAGATTAAGTGGTGGTATATTCACAGAAGACATCAGTGAACCTGTGGAGCTGTGTCAYGAAAACATAGGTCAAAGGATACAGGAAGGAAACTGTTCCCTTGTGTTCCTCATTAGTGTTTCTTAACTTACATATGTAGGATCATTTGTTCTCTTCTTGTTCTACCAACTCTAATATTTCCTGTCCAACAAAATATTCCCTAATATAATATTGCTGAAAGAAATTCTTCCTTTGATTGCCTCAATAATATAAATGAGATCAAAATAAATTGTTCTGAAAATAATACAACTGGTTGCTTTTAATCCATCAAAGAGTAGTTGAAGGCAGAAACCATGTGTGTCTTATTTATCTATCAAACCCAAGTAAAGTGTCATAATGAACTGCATGCCGGGCACTTTCTGGTGTCAGCTGAGTTAATAATCGAAATACTTCCATGAATAGGCTGAATGTCATATGAAACCTAAGATGAATTCCAAATGTAAAGTTTCTAAAGTTATTGAGTTGCTAAGTCAGTTTCACATTTAGGTTATAAAGATATATGTAATATTTTTAAAAATTATCTCAGAAATATATTAAAGTAAAACATAAAAAATAAACAGAAACCTTCAGCAGAATCAAGAAAGCTTTTTATAGATATGAAAATGAATAAGAGAGCATAGTTTTTCATTTATACACTGAAAGATGGTTTTAGGTAACTCTAACAGAAGATCTGTTTTGTAGAAGCCTACAATCTACTTTAAACAAAGGCTAACTGGTTGATAATGTAGGTTTCATTATGTTTCAATGTAAWAAGAAGAGTGTTTATGCTGAGGATTGAATCCAGGTCCTTGTGCATGCTAAGCACATGCTCTACTACTAAGTTACACTTGAAGCCACACAATAATGCAATCTTAAATTCAGTGGTGACATGGATCATCTTGAACAGGTATCAGATTGGATAGTTCTATTGCAGGCAAGTATTGGCATCCAGTGCTATAACCTATTAATCCCAATTCCAAATTTTTCATTCTTAGTTTACATATTAGTATGCAGTCTAAGTACATTTTCAATGTATATTAAAACATCTGCATTACCTGTCACTATCTAATGTATGAGACTAAAGTTATAAAACATTTTATCAAGATTATATCAGAGTATATTAATATTAATCACTTTTTGTATTTAGTTATAATCCTTCATGCTTAAATATATGTAGATCCTGATAGTCCCTTTCTAGAATTTTAAATTAAAATAATCACATTAATCAAAAATATTGTTTAGAAAATTTGCTTTCTATGGTTTCAATTTTAAAGCATTAATCTAATTAAACTGTCCAAACTACTATTATTATGGCTTACATGTATCATAGTAATAATTAACATTACCTAACATGCTGTGGTTGACATAAATATTTAAAACTAAGTTCATTATAAAGCAACTTAGGTAACTTTGGCCATTCCACATTGTGGAGCCAATTTCTTTTTCCCAAGAGTCAAAAACACATATTTTGAAAAAGTGAAAATGTAGAACATGAATAGATCAAGTGCATGCGAGGAACTTGCTTTGATGTAGAATTAAACAGTTTTTTAGTTAGCTACTAACTCTAACTTTAAAAACACTGGGAGGGCTTACTCAAGGGATTTACTGAGGGTATTGAAAGTATTTTTACTCTCCAGATTCATCATTTCAGGTATGTATCCTGTACAGTTCAGCAGGTCCAGAGGATCCACCAAAACTGAGTCTGTCTTCTCTCCCCACCCACCAATAATTACAAGATTAAGATTAAGGACTTATTTTGGATGGCCTTAACAGTATCAGCAAAACAATTAACACAATTTCCATGAGAATCTTATAGAGATCAAATAGCTTAATGAAGTTAAAATTCTGCTACATTTAAATGAAAACCTAATCACAGAAATGTAGAACCTCCTCCTTAAACCCCACCCCAAGGGATTCTACAGATTTCTATATTTGATTATCTGATTAAAACAAATAGAAACAATTTACTTAGGGTGAAAAATCATTCATCAATAATTTTTATATATTCACTAATTAAAAAATGACGTATTAATTTAATTTTTATTCCTCTTTTTTACATGATTAGAAAATGATTATTAACAAAGAATATTTCTGCACTCTTTGGAGAAAACTGTGGTTGAAATTGTAAAAAAAAAAAATCTTTCATCACTGGTATAATAACCAAGTTGTAGAGAACTCTATCAAAATAATATGCAGATTATACCAAGAAACGTAAAGAACAAGGTAATAAATTTTAATTAGATACTGTCTCAGATTATCATGAAACATACAACACTGCTGATGTCTTTACCCAGGTTTCATAGTCACACTGGTGCCCCTTAAAGGTTTATGTTACACGTGCCAAGAACAGAATATTAAAGATAGCGTACCTTTGAGACATAATCTTATAGGCATCTGGCAGATAACATCGGATATTCTCCATCTGAGCAGGGTCGGAGTCACAGATTTTGTCGTCAGTCCTCCCATAGTTGGCACTTTCGATCATGATGACATCTGTTCCTGGACAGCGGAGCTCGATGGGGTAGCTCTCACAGGAGAGCTCTCTGCGGACCACTGCCATTGGGATTGGGGCTCTGCTGAAAGCTATAGTGGAGGAGGAAGAAAGCACACGGTTAGTAGTGAAGGGCGCCAAGCACCTGCTGCCTTCCCAGGACTTGGGGTCAACTAACACAAGAAACACCACAGAGAGGATTCATAATTTTAGTAAAAATAGAATATTTCCCCTTTCATTAACTGTAAAAGATTTTGAAAAATCTTACAATTATTTATCGCATTTTTTTAATAAGTGAGAAAAAAGTCATTCTGAATTTCCTGCTAAAACTTTGCTTGTGTGCGAAGTGGACTATGTAGAAATATTAATACAGTTTGAAGAGTAAGATATTCAGATAAAATTAAGAGGTCTTTATTTTCTTTTTCTCTTTCTCTCTTATGGTGTTCCTTTCTTTAAAAAAAAAAATCAACTCAAAATTGCACTGCTCCTGACTTTAAAAAAAACATATTTAAGTACTCTATATCAATTTTTTAAAGTTCCATTGTTTGAGGCTGGGGTTGTGGCTCACGTATTGAACACCTGCCTAGCATGTGTGAGGCACTGGGTTTGATTCTTAGCACCACATATAAAATAAAATAAAGGATCATTTACAATTAAAACATGTTTTTTTAAAAAAATTCCATTGCTTGATAATTCACATAATTGATAAATTTTATTAATTAATTTGTAAATAATACATGCTCTTCCATTAAGAAAGTAGAAATTTTTGTTGAGAAAAGTTATGTTTTCCTATATCTCGCTCTCCACACTCTTTCTCCACCTGTCAAGAGGAAATCAGTTGTGGTGAGGATAAAACTAATTGTCCAAACAAAAACTGACATTGAATGTTTCTTCCCACCTCTTTTGATATTGTGTTTTACTCAGGTAAATTTAGACATTATAAACATATTATTTGATTATTATTTGTAATGTATTATTTTATTTGTAAGGCTAATTATATATGGTGGAATATTTTCACTTCTGGATGTTATTTTCTTCATTTTAATGGTACCTTAGAATATCTACATATTAGCCTATCCTATACTTATCAGCATTTATGAAGAACTCAGTATTTTGTTTCTTAATATTATAAATAAGTATAAATGTATCTTAGCTGAAATATTTTGGAAAAAATATAATAATTAAAGTATTTGTGGCATATTTCTGAAAAAAATCAATGTGTCAGAGTAAAACACATTTCAAATTTGGAAATTATCAACTAATTTGAAAAAATAAAAATAAAAATGTCTACTTTCACCAGTAATAGTTTTCATTTCATATTAAACATTATCAATGCCTTTAAATTTTGTCTTTTGGATAAAGAACAAAAGTGTAATATCTATTTTAAACTTACAGCTTTATTGTACAACAGAGTATATTTTCATGTTTTTTAACCTTTATTTTTCTTTCATCTGAATTGCTTACTTACATTTAAGATTTGCTTTGCAAAACTTCTTTGTATAACAAGGAAGCTAAACATCTGTCCTCTCCATTTGTGGCAATTTCTTTTTTTTTTCCTAGTTTGTTGCTTCATTTTAGAATGTTTAATAAACATATATAGTTAATTTTTATAAAGAAAATTTCTATCTTTTCATGTCAGTTGAAGACTCCCATTCTAAGACTGAACAATGCCATCACATTAATGGAACAAAACAAAATATTCAAATGTTGTAAAAATTCAGGAAGACTTCTTTCAAAGCATATAACTGAAACTAAGTGAAGAATTTACCAACTGTCAAAAGTTGATCTCCATATAAGAGAATCAATTATGGAGAAACATGTGTGATAGATTAAATTTGCATTGATAGTTGTAAATTAACTCAGTAATGCACACATACATAAAATATGCATTTAAATAAATATATGCAAGTTTTCATGTGTTGTTCTTTTTTTGTTTGTTTTGTTTTTTTACTAAGTATGAGATGCAAAAGAAGAACAAGAGAGGAAAAAGAAAAGAGGAAAAAAAGGAAGGGATGAGAAAGATATTTTGTAACTGTAAATATTTTCATTTKAAACAGAAAATATTGATTTGTTTTGTGATATATATTCAAATCATTCTCAATTTTAAAATAATATTTAGAAAAAACAAATCTATTTTTTCATTCAAAAATTAGAGATTAAAATCTTTTTTAATACGAAGATTCTATTTTCATGGATGAAGACATTTTCATTTAAAGTTCTTACATAGTGGAATCTTTGAATAATAAAAATATTTCAGTTAAGGAATCCAGTTTCCATGATTTATTTAGTTCAAACAGAGTCACAGAGGTGTTTTTGTTTCCCCCTCAAAGTCCTTAAAATCACAGTTTTCAGATGCTTTATACTGTCTTCTGTACATTTGTTGAAGAAGATTATTTCTTAACTTTGATATGACTATTTTAATAAAATCACTTTGAAATAGCTTTCAAACATTGCATTCATCTGGACGTATTATGTTGATTTAACCAGTCGATTAAATTAAAAACACAAGCTAATTGAACAAAGAAACAACATATAAGTAAATCACACTGTCAAATCATTTGTTTGACTAAGTGGACAATTCGGATGATTAAACTCATCAGTCAATTTTGTCAAAACACTGACATAGCTTTAATCTGGGTCTTCACTGTCAAAAATATCATTTAGAACCAGACACTAGACAGATGCAAAGTCAACTAAAATATGGAAATCCAAATTTCCCATGTATTTTTTTTATGTAAGAGTGATACAAATGTTATGTATATGGCAATTTTTACAAAGATCAGAGTTAATTTGTCAAAACTTTCTTCCATTTAACATGTAATTGCTTTTATTTCAGTTAGTGACAAACTGCAGATGATGGATGCTTTGTTTCAAGGAATGTATTACAGGAAACTACTTTCTAACATTATCTAATTAGCTATTTAAATTACCTTTAATTAGTTTGCTGAATATTTTCATCAGCAACCCAAGTCCAGAGGGGGGGGGGTGGGAAGGTTTAAGTTAAAAATAAGGTTTTCTATCATTCAGTTGTCATGCTACCAATGGAAAGGTTTTGTTTACACAAGAAATGGCCAAGACTGAATATGCCAACAATCCAAATGTGGTGTGGCAAATCAGTCTCTTGTTCTTCGTATCATATCCTTTATTATTTTATTTTCACATAGTCTGTTGCATGTTGTGTCAGGGTAGCACTTATTAGGCATTGTGAAGTGGATCATGGCAAATTAATTTGGAGCCAAGAAGGCATAAACATACCTTCTTGAGCTCCTTCCTACATTTAGCCATGAGATAAATTGGTTATAACAAGAAACACAATGCCCTCTGTTAGACATGTAATAGATAATTGCTGAATAAGTTGGAAAAGTGTTAGATATGAAATCTGGTAATGATCCGTTAGGGTGTTTTGCATTACACTACTCCCTGACCATGAACCTGATTAGGAGCATGTGAACTAACTAAACATCTCTGCTGAATATGGTCAGAACCTGTGGAAGTCCCCAAACTCCATATCAATCATATTCCTAAAAAATGTGCTTCTGACAAGGGAATAACCATAAGGAAACTAAGTAAAAAGAAATATTAAATAATATGAGAAATAGCTCCCTGCTCTTGCTCACTTCTTTTGTTGGAAATCACTCCCATTATTTTCCCCTTTTTTGAACCTTCAGTCATTCTGTTGTTAAAACCTCTTCTTTTCCTGGATCCCCCTTCTTGGGTTCTCTCTCCTGCCCCATGATGTCTGACTCTATATGCTGTAAATCCTTGAAGGACTTTTGCAGATATGGAATCAGGGAGGTAAAACCTGGTGTCCAAACAAAAGTCAGATGGTTTTTCCTGGACCCCAAAGACAGGGTTCAGAAATTTTCCAAAATAATTCTAGCATACTAGAGAGAGCCTTACAAAGGAGGGATTTCTATATAAAATATAGGATTATAGGAAAAATACTATCAATAAGAATAAGTAAAAGATCAAAGACTACAGTGCAAAGGGAAAATTAATTGGTTGAAGGCAAAGCACAAGTAATTCAGTTTTATACACATTGAACTTTAGGTGTCAGAATAGTACCTGGATATGTGCAAAAGTCGGCTAGATTCATGAGTCTAGAACTCAGCAAGAGTACTCAGGCTAAAGTCATAGGAACATGTAAGTAGTTCAGGTAGTAAACCATAAAGTAACAGAAGAAGAATAAACACAGAAGTCAGAATATCAGTGGTCACTGAAAGCTGGGAGGAACATGCTACATCATCACTAGAGAAATATAACCAAAACAAAGATTTGAGTGTACTATCACCAAGTTAAGGATAAGTAAGTTAGTTATGGGACAGATGAAGGAAACACTTTATTCTCTTAAATATACTCAGTGATTCAGTCAAAAAAAATAACAGCTGCAGACTAATCTACATATAGCAGAACTAAAATCTTCATCCTGTCCTATTTGTTTGTTGTGCTTATAAAAATATCAACAAAACAGCCTACATTTATATTTATTTTCCAATTCCTGCACTTCACACTTTAATCCAAATCCTATGTATTTGAAAAACAATAATTCTGTTAGAGAATTTAAAAAAGAAAAGAATGGAGATGAAATGCAAATTAGGCTATTTGTCACAGGAAAGATGAGAGAAGAGTCACTTTACTTTGGTAGTGAGAGAGAACATATTTAATCTATATTTAGGATCAAGAAATTACCTGATTTGATAATTGAATGGGAAGGGCAAAATATCATGTGACAAGGATGGCTACCAGGTTTCTGGCATCAACAAATATTTAGCTTGTACTGCATTAGACAAAAAGTAAAAACAAAAAGAAAAGCAAAACACCTGATAGGAACTTGAAAATACAGGTCTATGACTGTATAAGAGAGATCTATATGAAGTTCAGAGTTCTAGAGTAGCATTTAAAATCTAATAGATCAGGTAACCTAGGAAAGGAATGGGGGTTTTAAAAGAGGAATATGTGACAGTTTTAGTCTATTTATGATTCTTTGACACTTCCATTCTTCTTCCCTCTTCTCTTGACTCTGAATATGAGCTGTACTCAGGGACTCACTTCTGATGGACACAGTATGGTAGAAATGAGAGTGCAATTTCCC